TGCGCAGGGCGGCTGGGGGGGGGGGTTTGGTGACGAGGACATATGGGTGGGTGGTGGGGGCAGTATCAGGGGTCCTTCAGGAAGTCTTTGCCAAGGTCGTCCTTTGGTTTCCCCTTGGGGAGGGTTGGGTGGGGGATGTTGACAAATGCATCACAGGCGAATGGACATCAGGACGAAACAAGCATAAGCGTACATCAAGTTCGTGATTTCAAACAACAACAATTACAAACAGTTTTCAAAAGCATTGAGTCATTGAAGATTATCTGCGAGTGATAATCGTTGCAGAAATTTAGAAAGTACAACATTACAGGGCAACATAACAACAACGAGAAACAGCTGCACCATAGATACACAACAATAAAGGAAGCATGAATACCGAACTCAATCAAATAATGTGCGAATACAGTGTGCAATCGTTTGAAACATCACTAGCAAAGTAGAAGGAAAACAAAAACAATGCACTGCAGATGCTGCGCCCATGTCTGAACAAAGAGTGCAATCCTCTGAAACATCGATGCAAAAATAAAACGAAAAAGAAACAACAATCTGCACCTACTGCACCTGTGCATGGAAAACTGTGCAGTAGTCTAACCATCTGTACAAATACAAATGTAGTCATGACGAAACACTAAATATAATATACACTACACCTATGAATACATCACGTCATCCGAAGCACTAAATGTAGTATGCACTACTACGAAATACAGGACGAAAGAGGACGAATGGTGGGACTAAGCATCATCGTCGTCCACAATGTCCTTCCTCCTCCTCTGGGTCGCCACACCTATGACACCGTTGCCGCCACCTGTGCCGCCTACCGGCCTGTGCGCAGTACCCGGAGCATGAACCCCCCCCTGTGGCGCCACCTCAACCCCGTGCTGTGCTCGAAGAAGGTCGTACACGGATGCCCTCCTCCGCTGGCCAAGAGGCATCTCCAAATCATCGGTACCAGACTCCAAAACGCGTGCTGCCTGTGACGGTCGTTGCGCAAGCACCGTCCTCACATCCTCCCCCAATATACGTCCGGCCATGTTCCTCCCAGGGGGGCCACTGTGCTCCGCCTCCTCCCCCCTACCTGGTATGCGCCCCTCAGTACGTGGCATCGCTGCCGCAGCAAGTGCTGTCATGGGCTGCTCCGTCGCCCGGGTGGAGGCCCTCTCCCGCCAACCTACTATGTCCACGACAACGTCCCGGGCCAATGCCTCCCGAGTCCGCGGATGTAAACCGGCCAACCCGGGCTGACTCTCCCGCATCGCATGCGTCACCCTCCTCACAGTACTGAGACTCTTGCCTGCTTTCATCTTTTTCTTCCCTGATTTGGGAGAAGGAGACTCTGGAGGTGCCGGTGCGGTAGTGGCACCCTCAGCATGTACGGAGGTCGTGCTACAAGTGGTGGACGATGGCAGTGACGGGCTGCACGACACGTAGGCTGGACCCTCTGCCATGAACCTCCTTGATGCCTCATCCATCCGTCCGCGTCGATCTGCATGCAATGGGTCCTCCCGTGCCTACTGCTCCAACTCCCCCGCCGTCATGGCTCCACCGATAGGCAATATACAAACACCCTAAACCGACGACGCGGGTCTCTCGCCTGCATCCCCACCGCCCACATCGCCACACTCAAGCACTGCATCGTTCGTCGCACGATGACCCTCAGCACCGCCCGTCTCGAGCATCCGCTCTGCCCGTGCCCACAATGCAATACTCTGTGTCATCTCGCAACGGCTAGCCAAGTCCTGCGCCCTTTCCCTCTCCTCGCGGTCGATCCTGTCCAGCTCCGACTCTGGCGCTCGCTCCTGCACAGGTCGACAATCCCTACCGTCCCCTGCTGCACACTCCTCCTGCCCCGACGAACCCTGTGTCCCCGCTGCTGCCTCCTGCAACATGCTGCTACTGATGTCACCCATGCTGCATGAAGGTATATCACCGAGTATCTGACTGACGGGCGTAGCCGCTGCGTCCACATCACCACTGCCACGCTAGCCTACCGGTGTCAGAGGAAACTCTAACGAAACATCCAACATACCACTGAAGCTGTCACCCAACTGCGCCGAAGCGCTCGCAACCTGTGCAGCCTCGTCAGTAACCTCTGCAAACCCGCCTGCTACCTCCTCACACGGCGCTGCGAAATGTGGAGTGGAGGGAGAGGCCTCTGCAGTGACCTGCGCCGACACAACACCACCAAACTCTGCCGACCCGACGCCAACCTCTACTGTCGCAGCACCCTCATCGACCCAGTGCACAGTGCGAGTGGACGAAGCAGACTCTCGCCTCACCCGTCCTCCACCACCACGGCCTGCAGCCCCCGTGTCTCGTGCCCCCACGCCCCTGCCTGCACCACTGCATCGGTCGGCACGCTGTCGACCCGACCTCCGCAAACCACCTGCAGCCTGTGTACCATCGCCGCCCTCGTCGTCGTCGTCGTCGTCACCACGTCCGCGTGTCGGGGAATAGGCAGGATCATCCTCGTCCTCACTGCTGCCCTCATACCCCTCTCTGACATCGTCGTCGTCGTCGTGTCCCTCCTCAACAATATCCTGAGTCCCGTGCTTGCCATGTCCTGGACGATCTGTAGGTGGAGGGGGATGTTGCGGAACGACTGCAGTGGAAGCCCGACCACTCGAAGGCGGAGGTGGAGGGGGAGGGTGATGTTGCGCAGCGGCTGCAGTGGAAGCACGAGCACTCAGGGGCAGAGGTGGAGGGGGAGGGGGATGCTGCGCAGCGGCTGCTGTGGAAGCACGTGTCCAAGGACGCAACATCTCGGCGAGAGGAACATTGTCGCCCCCATCATCAGAATCTCCCGGCTCCGACTCCACTGCCAGGTCGTCTGGATCGGACCACAGCTCCGCCTCAATCGGGTCCTGAGCCATAGGATCAGGCTCCGGATCGTACACGGCGTCCAACTCAGTCGACATGAGCACCGTGGCGCGACGACCGAAATACGTCTCGACGCTGGGCGGAGCCTTCGAAAGGTGATCCTTCCGCCCGCCCTACACCTGTCGCTCGCGCTGCGCCTCCGTGACTCGGTCAACTGGCCGAACACCCTCGTCACGAGGCGGAGGAACAATGTCCTCGGTCTCCTCCTCAGCATCCTCCCATTGCAGAATGTACCCTGAACCCCTCCCCTGACAACGACTCAATCTCAAGTTGGTGGATATCTCCACCAAACGAGCCAGCTTGATAAAACCAAGCTGGTTACGCTTCTTCACCTGAACACACTCATGGACGGCCCAGTTCCTCTCCGCTGGAGAGGTGCACGTCCATGTGTGTGTCAGGCGAATGGCGTAACTCTGAAGGAGAGGGACCCCGTCCCCGTGCTGAACCCACCATTGCCCCACCTGCGACGTCTCCTTCTCCCCTCTGTAGGAGGCCGCGTCCCTGTCACCCTCAACCCCTCCATACATCCAATCGCCCTCCCGGCTCAGAAACTCCACCAACTGCGTGCGCAATGTCTGATACAACTCCTCATCTCCGCCAGTTTGCTGGCGAAGGTATCGCAGCGACTCCTCCGTGAGTGTCTTGTCGTGCTCGCTGCGCCTCGCCACTCCAAAATACGTAATGCTCCTGTGGCGAGGGTTGAGGAGGTGGGCCATGCAATGTGCGGGCTGCAACATATGATCGACCCGCGCCTGATAAGCCTGAACAACGATGTTGAGATCCTCCGTCGACGTCCTGTTCAGTCTTGCCCTCGCCACTCTGTCGACCCTGGCAAGCGCCCACGACCACGTGCGAGTCATCACGCGCCCCCCTCTGTCCAAATGTCGCAGCAGCTGCATCACAGGCGTCATCAGCTCCACGATGTCCTCCACGTGCTCCCAGAATGGCGCGTACCTCACCTGATGACGCACCCACCTGGCCTGCAAGAAAATGGACCTCCTCCATGCAGTCCGCAACCACTCGTCGCTCATCATCAACGACTCCAACGCTCGGCGACGATCCAACAACCTCTCCAGCATCAAGTAGTGTGTAGCAAACCTCGTCTGTGCGGGGTACACAAGCTCTCTGCCTCGCCGCTGAGACGAGGGTGGAGCAGCGCTGCAACTGGCCGCAACTGCGGAGGCGGAAGAGGGGTGGGCGGCAGAGAAACGTCGGTAAAGGCTGAGAGCCTCCCCGTGCTCTCTGATGAAACGCACGACTGCTCGAGCCCTGATGATGGTGTCCTCCCTCTTCCCAAGCTTCCCGGGGGTGCCGTCCTTCGCAATGTCTGACAACAACAAGTTGCAGACATGGACCGCACACGGAAGCCAAGTAATGCGACTTTACTTGACTTCCTCCTTCGCGAGGAGCTTGGATGCAGCCACATACGCGGACGTGGAATCAGCGCAAATGGCGTTGACGTTTTCGACACCGAACTTGTCGAACACCTCCTTCCATCGCTCCACCACGACCTCGGCTGTCTCCTGAACAGCACCGTCACGCTGCACAGTCCTGAAAAGGTAGGCTCCCGTTAGGCCAGCAGCAAGGAAGTTGACTATCTAGTCGCTAGTGATGGACTTGCGACCATCGGTGAGGATGGTCGCTCCCATCACCGCAATGTCCTTCCGGACGGCCGCTACCATCTCCGCCACAACTCGCTGCTGCTCTGGGATGCCGTCGCCGGAAATGACACGGTGCGTGGGCAACGCAGGATGTGTATACGACGGACACTCGAGCAACCGCTTCCTCACTCGCTGGTACTCCGGCCTCCTCGCTGCCTCGAATGGAATGCCGCACACGTACCACCACTGCAGGAACTCGTTCGAAAACTCTCGTTGCCACACCGGATCGAAGGTCTCCATCATGGATGTCTGTCGAAGGACTTTGCCCTTCTTCGGCAGAGGAGGAGCTGGTGTCATTGCCTTCCTCTTTCTCTTCTTCGATTGCGCGGTCTCCTTCATCGCTTTGGCAGCCCCCTCTTGGCCTCGATGGCCAGCAGCCATCAGCCCCCATCAAGAGACGCCCCAATGTCTTCGCCCTCATCGCCGTCGTCATCGTCGTCATCGTCATGCTCGTTCGGGGTGCTGTCCTTGCCAACGGCCTTGTCTGCCCTCATCTTACCCCTGGCGCGCTCCGCCTCTCGCCGCACCTCCATGTCTTGTGAATCGCTGTCACTATCATCACCTCCCCCCTTGGCCGCCCTCCTCTCATCCTCGCTGTCGTCGTACTCCTCATCCCCCGTCTGCTCCCTCCCCGAAGTATTTCTATTGTCTCTAACCCCACGAGACCTGAGGAAGTCGAGGATCTTCCGATGGTGGTTGTGATCAATCGAGTAGTTTGTCTTGTTCCAAATCTCCGCGAGCTGCTCCGCGGTGACTTTGAAACAGTTGTTCTTTATTGTAAAGTGTTGTGCGGCCTTCGATTGACTGCCCTGAAACCCCCGGCCACACAATTTGCACTCCATGAGAAAATTCCCATTGGAGTTCGGCAGTGTTTGCCCCTTCGTGATCCACTTGAATCTGCAGAACTTCAGCTCCGCCTGCCTCTGTTTGTCCTTACTGACTGGGACAAACTGCTGCTCACCCCTCCCTTTCCTGGGTGCCATTGCACACACCCTGCACACAACTTCGCATGCGGCCGTGCAGCCCTGCGGCCCCGCCTTAGGCGTACGGGCCGTACGTACGGCCCGTTCCATATGCACGCCCCGTACGTACGTACGCTGCCCGTTCGCGCCTCGCACACGCGCCGCCGCTTCACTACATCGCCGTCGTCTACGCCGTGCCCGCCATCGCCATCGTCGTCAACGTCGTCTTTGTCGTTGTCGTCTTCGCCCACTCTCTCTCTCTCTCTCTCTCTCACGCACACACACACACACACACACACACACACACACACACACAC